TATATATATTTTTAAATTATTTAAATTATTATAAAAATTTTTTATAATAATTTTACATTTAGAATAATTTTGTTAAATAAAATATATGTTAAATTATAACTAATAATTTTTACTTTAATATAAAAATAAAAAAATATTTATTAATAGAATTAAAGTTTTAATATAAAATAAAAATAAAAATTTTTATTATATTTAATTAATAAATTGCATATATAATTCTATAATTTTGTTAGCTATTATATTATATTATATTTTATTTATTATAAATTTTTATAAAATATTCAAGTAATTTTTTTAAATATTTTGTAATATTTAATTTAAACTAAATTTTATAATAATTAGCTATAAATTAATATTAAAATTTTTATCAAATTATTATTAAGTTAAATTTTTTGAGTTCTAGAAAAATTTCAAAAAAAATTATTTTTTTATAAATCAAATTATATATTATAATTATACTTATAAAAAAATTATTATTAAATTTAATAATATAATTATAAATTATCAAAAATTAAAAAAATAAAAAAATATAAAAATATAAAAAATTAAAAATTTTTTAATAATAAATTTTTTTATTACAAAATTTATATTTTTAAGAATATTATTAATTTTAAATTAATTATATAATCTTTTTATAATTAATTATATAATCTTTTTATAATTAATTATAAAAAGTTTGAGTACATTAAATTTAAAAATTCTATAAAAATCTATGTTAAAATACAGATTTTTAGCTTTATTTTAATATTAAAACAAAATAAAAACAAAAAATTTTAATATAAAAAAATTATAATTTTTTTGAATTATTATATAAATATATATAATAACTAATAAAATTATAAAATTATATGTACAATTTTATTTATTAATAAAATATAGTAAAAATTGAAATTATTTTTATATAAAATTTTTTAATTTATTAATAAATATTTTTTATTTTTATATATATTTATTTTGAATTTTTTAGATTTTTTTTATCAAAGTTATTCTATTTATAAAGTTATTGCAAAAATTTTTTATTATTATAATATAAAATTAAAAATAAAAATATTTATTAATAAGATTAAAATTTTTTATAAAACAGAAATTTTAATATTTATAAAATTTTTATAATAGAAAAATTATTTTAAATTTAATTTTGTTATCTTAAATATAATATTAATATTTATATATAAAACTCAAAATATATAAAATTACTTTAATAATTAAATAATATTAGTTTTAAAAAAACTTTATAAAAAAAGATCATTTAAATTTTGAATTTAAATAAAAATCAAAAAAACTTAAGAATAGAATGCAAATCGACAAAATAAATGTTTGATAAAGTTAATTATTTATCTAAACAGATTAATTTACTTTTTTAATAGGTATTCTTATATATAAATATTTATAAACAAAAATCTTATTCTTAAAAATAATTTTTTTATAAAATACACTTTATAAAAGCTTTTCATATAAAATTATTTTTATTAGTTTTAAATAATGCTTTTTATAAGTCAACTTGTTTTAGTTTGTAAATCTTTTTATTATTTAATGTTATAATAAAAATGGTTTATTAATAATATATAAATAAATATCTATTTATTATAGTTTCCCAGAAAGTAATGGCTGGCGGTTTTTTTTAAAATTGTATTTTTATAATATATATAAGTAAGCATTTATATCCTAGAAATATTAATATTTAATATTAATAATAAATTCATTTAAGAAATAATTAATATTTTATGCTGATTCTTTGGAATTAACTACAGTCAAACTTCGATATAACGAACCTCTTGAGCTGGAAATTTTTTTCGATATATCGAATTTCCTTATGAAACTTCGCTATATAGAGGTAATTTTAAAACAAAAGATCTTTTCTCTTTCGTTATATCAAGGATTTCGTTATATCCAGGTTTCGTTATATCGAGGTTTGACTGTAGAAATAGATCAGGGGAACAATTTTTTAATGGGCAAAAATCGATTTAATAATGTAGTTTTCGAATTATTGAGCTTTGTTTAGTGGCGATCCCTAACCGAACCGTTTGTAAAAAAACCTTTAAAAACTTTATTAAGAAACTGGTTTTAGAGTATTATAAAAAAGTGTGTTCAGCCGATCGATTTACCATAAAAATTTCAGAAAGTAGACATTTTCTGTGATTTTTAATGTTAATTTAAACATCAATCGGCCATTACTTTCCGGACTAAAAAACAATTAATTTCATCAAAAATCGATTTTATATAAATAAAATTTTTTGACTTTAAAATAAAAAGTCGGGTCGCCGGGTCATTTTACATAGTCATGTGTTATGAAAACCAAAAATTTGTTTGTGTGAGAATTACTATATAATTTTTGAATATTATTTGAATTATAGTATTTTTTATACCATATTCTTTGATTTATTAGAACATTTCTATATAGGAACCTATTTTCAAATGATTGAATAAGAACTAATGCTGATAATACTTTTGAGAATATAGATCAATACTACAATCTTAAAAAGTCAAAAACAAGAAAATTTTTAAAGATGGAGCTATTAATAAAAATATGGATGCTTGGAAGTATTCACAAAGGTTTAAGCTAATTATATTGTATGCATCGATTTTTAAAAGATAAACTTTGAAAGCAGTGATAAAGTACTTAATTGATTGATTATTATTACATGGTCATAAAAAATATTCGAAGAAACAAGAGTCTATTGGCAAAATTGATGACCCGATTTTGCCCGATATACCGAAGCTTACTACATGTAATATAGGCACTATACCAGTTCCGGTGAAATCCTAATGTACCGAATGCTTCTTACCACAAGTATATACGTTATACCGGCTGTGATCTGATTGGTTAAAAATTAGATCTCAATAAAATGAAATGATAAATGAGCGATTGTCTTATGTGTTCTCATGCTTAGTTACCATCTTACCTTATTTATTCGGACTCATTCTTATGCCGTTTCATCTGAAACATCTTTTTCTTGACGTCCTACCTATTTACTTGGATGCTGGTTATCCAAGTTATCGCTTCATCTGAAACACTAAACCATCGACTTACCTAATTCTAACAGTAATGCACACTACGTCACGTTGATTGGTAAGGATCTCAAAAACGTGATATCTTTTTATATAGAAAAAGAATCGAGGGCGATTTTAAGAATGGAATGATATTCTGAATTCTGTCCTAATTAGTCTAGTCGAAAAAAATGAGAACGCAAATGTAATGATATTTATGCAATGTCATATGGTGCGCCCTGCTTAGTCACCTCAAAGGCGCTGCAAATTTTGCAGATCATCACTTATACAATTGAATATGATTGGTCAGATTTATTATAGGTGTGATTATTTTTTATATTAATGCTGAAATTTTTAAATAAAATAGGTTACGTACTTGATAGTACTTTTCAAAAAATATTAAATGACGTATTTTTTTTTACATTTGCAATCCAAAGCATTTGATGTGACTAAGCAGGGCGCACCATATTTCATTTCATTATTGGCTTACATCGAAGTGTATACCGGAATCCGGCGGCCTAAAAAAGGCTAGTTCAATGCGGCCGTTAGAAAGGACTTTGTTTGAGAAAAAAGTAGTGATTACGTTTACAAAAGAAATGCACCACTTTCAAACTTTATGATTAAGCATAATAAAATTGAAACTTTTATTTTCATCAAAACATTTAATAAAGATCATTATATATTTTGAAAGTGGTGCATATCTTGTACACTACTGTATATTTACAGTTAATTGTTATTTTTATTTTTTACTGTTATGCGGTAAATGTGCTCTTTTGATATTAACATGATTTTCTGCTAAATGTGCAAATTTAAGACTCTCAGAGAGTTACGACATATGTCGTAACTAATTGTTACGCATGTCATAATTAGTTACGGCAGTTAAGTTTGCACCCCTATTTCCTGCATCACTAAATAACCATGCTGGAGAAAGCAATTGCATTTACATGTACATGCCAAAACAGATAATATCGATATTGATATTTATCAAACAAATTTATTTTAAATCATTATTTAAACCGCGATTTGGTATGGCATGCATGCTTTCAACATTTAACGAAAATCGTTGAATTTAGAGCTAATAAATCAGCAAAGACGACTAAATTCGTCGAATTCAACGTAAATTCGCCTTATCTTGAAATACGCGACTTTTTTAGACCATCGTCATCGTGAATTTGATTTTTGAGTTGTCATTTATGTATCATGTACATGACATAGCAAAAATGATATTATTAAATTTTATCATTAGCGTTAATACATGTATTCATTTAATTATTGCTATCTTTAGAATTAGTTATACGCTTTTTTTGGTCATATGATATTTTGACTTATCGTTGTAAATTTGAATTCTCGTAATAGAAATATCATTAAGAAGCTTACAAATGGCATTAAAATTGGCTTATTAATTGCAAATTTAAAATCAAACTAATTAACTTTACACTTGTGCATTTATTTTTCATCTTCTGACTATTCAAAAATGTCCATTATTATTATAGTAATAATTGCTCGTGACAGTCACCTGCCTTTATTATTTATAGATTTTACTCGCACAATGCACACCCGATATCTCGAATCAATAATTTGTGTGATGTGTACTCTACAACGATAACTTCCGATACAAGAATTTCATTGAAAAACGGTCTGCAATCTCCCCACTAGAATGGCATTTTCGAACTCCGTTACAATGATTATTGTCCAAAAAAAGAAATTCATAAGATACATGTAAATGGAGACTTTAAATAAAAACGAACATATAAAAACGACTAGAAAATCATGATATCGATATGAACAAGTACAGTATTCTTTGTTTCTTCCTTGTGTTTGTATCTCATTTAGAAACAGGTAAATCTATTTAATGAATGAACTTAATCATATAGTTTGTGCTACAATTGTGCAACAAAATGATCTTCCTTTCGTGAATCAGATATATATATAGGAGGTGGATATTTCTCCTGTTTTTTTTCCCTTTCTTAGGCTAGTCACTTCAAGTGGAAACTTTAAAAATACTGCTAGCTATGTCGGATCAGCTTATGGTTTATCATTGTTTGGAAATTCTTCCATTCAATGCGCCAAATGATCCATTGACTGTTCAAAATATAATTGTGGGTCAGGACACTTCACAACACCAACAAGAAAATGAAACTCAAGATCGCTATCGACCTTCGTTCCCGCCTCAGCTTATAGCTGAAGACTTGATCGGTAAAGGCAAACAACCGCCTAACGCTTTTTTGAGTTACCGTAAAGCTGTCTGTATGCAAATTAAAGCTATCGACGTTAAATTGCACCAGAGTCAGGTGTCGAAACTTGCTTCAAGTCTTTGGTCGAAAGAAGGAAAAGATGTCAAAGAAGCTTATGAGGATTTAGCATCCAAAGCCAAAAAGTTGTGGATTATGGGGCATCGTATGGATACTGTTAAAACGTATAAAGTTACTGATGTGAAAAAAGCTAGAAAAACTCGCTGTAAAACTTCACCCAAGAAAAATAAAACCCGTCAACAACAATTTCATGTACAACAGTCAATTCAAGGTGATACGAATTCTAACGCAACAGAAGATAATGCCGTTTTTGCACGTATTTCTGTAGATGATAACATCTACAGCAATACCAATGCGAGTCCAATCAATGCCGGAATGGTATATAATCCTACGTTTAACGATACAATTTGTTATTCTTATGCCGATTTCTTGGGTGAATTAGACCTACCGAGCTATTTCAGCAAGACTGACTATCAATCATGTCAGTCCAATGAGCTAATATAATCGTTTAATGATATCTAATTAACAGGTTTCTTCCCGATGGATTTTATTCCTTGGCATATGCCTAAATCGCTTATATTATATCAATCTTAATTTTATCAATCAATTAGTATTTTATTATAACATTAAATAAAGTTACTAACATTTGAGAACTACTTGAATAAATTTTTGAGTCATAGCTCCAATTGTTTTATGAAAATCGACTTCAGCTGAAGTTGCTATAAGTCAGACCAAGCATCACTATTTGAGAATAACCGAGCAAAGCATATACTTGCTGGTTTATCAAACATCTAACGCTAAGGCTGCATGTTAATTCTCATTTAGTAACTTTTTTTGAGAAAGAATGCTTTTTAGTCTAAAAATTTGAATTGAACGCGTCCGATGGTATAATATAAAGTGAAATTGTACGAAATATAGGCTCCACAAAATATTCATAAAGCTACTAACCATGATATTGTGATATTAATTTAGCTATTTTAATAGCTTTATGTCAACAAACTCAACGCATGAAATTTCTTACTTGCTGTTGTCTTTGTTTTTATTCTATAATACGTAATACAGATACATTTATTTTTCCACATACATATACGTATAAAGTCTTTAGAGACAGATGAATGAAAATTATTTTTTCTTAAAGAAAATATATGCAATTAAATTGGCTTATTTCATCATGTCAAATAGGATTAGAGGCAAACAATCAACTTTATTTTAACATTAATTTTGGTTTTTGACTTTGATAAATTCCTACAGGGAAATTATATTTGCGAGTCTGAAATCAAAATGCTAGAATAAGTTCAAGTAAACTCGATAAAGGAGAATAAATTCCGACAAGCATATTCACATTCCGTAAAAAGAAGTTTTGATTGTAAGTTGCAAGTAAAGAAAACAACAATATTCATTATTGAGATTGAACTTTAAAATTTATCGGCTTTTGCCAAATTAATGTGCCACAAACGTGGTTCATTTAATACGCCCCAAATATGTGGTTCAATTAATACGCCACATTTTATGTGGCGTATTATGCTTGTTTTCATCACCAATCAGCTTTTAAGAATTAAACGTACGTACATAACGATAACTTTATTTTTAAATGGGATATGGCGCATAAGTGTAACAGCCAGCCACAAAATAAAGCCGATGCATTGTTGAACCATAAAATTAAGGTGAACCAGTACCGGTACTGTTATATTCATCAATGAGTGATAATATAAATAACTTTCTATGCTATATTTGTATGTGTTTTTTTCTTACATGCGACCATTTTTGAATAAGTAAAGTACACACAAACAAAGAAATTTTATATGAAGTATAAATTCAAAGATGGAAATTTTAATTATGAAATACCAAACAAAGTGCACAAAATTTCTCGTGCTTAGGATTGTTTCCGTCATTCACCGACGTTTTCCAAGTGATCTTGGTGGGAGAAAATGTCTATACAAAAATGAACAAATTTGATCGGAATTCTTTTCCATTTTAATTGTCTTGCATATTTTCACTTACATTATAGGAAAATCTTCAAACAAAAGCGCTAATTCTTAGCTAAATTTAGCAGAGCATAAATCGCTTCTTTCAAAAAATAACGACTACAGCCACAACATAAATTACAATTACAATTTTTCTATTCTTGTCCAAAAGTTAAAATTAACACACAAAGAATTACTTTCCTGCGTTGCACATATTTCTCGTATGCTTGTATGACAGATTCGCGTGTTATGATTCCATAATGATTGTTCGAAGGAGATACATGTATAAATAATTTTAGCATTCACCGTGTATAATAAACACGTATGCTGCTTTTAAGGGACACTATCGGAGTGCTTTCCTCGATTCGGGTATAAGTCACCCCTCCTCCCACCCTAAGATCAGCGTATTTTCTAAATAAAAAAACCGGTTGTTGTGATACAGTTTTTTTTATAGGGGATTGACAATCTAGACATATTTAAACATATAAAAGTCGTGTTTCTCTTTCGAAAAAAATCTCATCAATTTACTCAAACAAATAACACAGAAACACACAGTTACTACTACTTTTAAATTATACCAATTTCGTCAATGAATTTTAGTAATAGTTTTCCGATAAACTTTAACAACAACAGCAGCAATAACGATCATGATAATAATGATGATAATAACAATAATCATAGAACGAATAGCAGCAATGGACAATTAACCAAACGAAAAAGGCAACAAAAAAGCACCAAAACACAATCTTCGAATACCACTCGAGCAAACAATAACAGTAATAATACACAAATGAAAGCACCAATCAAAGTAACTGTTCCTTCTCCAGAAGATTTAGACATTAATGAATTTTTGCCAAAGAGTAAAACGAGCAAAAAAACACCCAACTCGTATTTCATATATCGAAAAGTCTACGTTGAAGAATTACAAAAACTTGGACTTAAATCTAAAATGATTCGTGTCTCTTCGTGGAGTGGATTTGCTTGGAAAGAAGAATCTCATAATGTAAAATTAGCATACGTTCAATTCGCAAATGAATTATCGAAACTTTATGAAAATCAATTAAAAGAGGAAAGAGAACGTAAACGAAATGAGCCAATCGAAATAATCGAATTTAAACCTGAATCTATAAATAACAATGAAGAAGAAACAACAGAAACGATAACAGAAACAACGTTGAATCAATCCTCTCAAGATATTCCTTCGATAAACGACCAAACAAATATTACAACGACAACTTCTATAGGCATAGAAACAACAATATCCCATCCCGTCTATGAAACAGCAGCCATAATAGCCCCTTATGATGCTCAAATATTTTCTCCAAATGAGACTCCTGCAGAGGCAGACAATCCTTTGGAATTAGTCGATCTTTGTAATACTTTATCTATCAATAATTTTACATTTGATCCACAATCAGTTCAAACTTTGCAATACGAACAGAATTTGAACGTTTATTACGACCCATTTCTCTTTTAATTATAAATCAATTGAGTGTAATATATATATTATATTGTAATATTTAATCGTATATTGAAAAGACGTTAGTATAAAAGTAGTATGGTAAATAAAATTATTTTGTGTATGGGCTCATTAAGAAAGAAGCAAAATTGTCTCAATTAATCATAAAAAGAAATATGTTGTTTACTTTAGGCTGCAGAAATTCATGCATTATTACTTTGTTTATCCGTTATTCAACACCAATGTATCAATCAATGTTATCAAGAAAATTGGTTCTCTAAACAATGGCAAAAAATTTTAAGTTTCATTTTGATGTGACACTGTGGCTACTAACACCGCCACTGGCGCAGGGTAACGGCCGACGCCGCAGTATATACGGAATCTATACCCCGGATTTTTTTGAATTGTTCCCATATTTCAAATTCTTATATATTAATACAAAGGAAAGGGAGTGGGAATAATTGTATTTTGAACAGCAGTTTTTTTTTACATTCTCCTGTTTACCTCGTATGGAAGTCGATCATACCCAAGAAATCTTTATTATAATGTAATAACCAGCTAATCTTAGGAATACGTGTATAATACATGTAATTGAAGTTAAGCATGCTTTATATTGCAAAAAAGGGTGCAATAGATCTAGTTATTCAGAATAAAAACTTTCTTAAAACAGAATGACAATTGATTATACGTATTGTAATGCATAACACAAGGCAAGTTACTCTCCTCTGTATTAATTCCATAAGCGATATATGCAAAGCAATGATAGTCCAAGTAAAATTAAAATTAAAATTAAAATGAAACCATGTCTTTAGCCTTATTGTATATTTGCTAAACATTGCGTTAAAGAACGAATAGAATATCCGATGCATTATAATTTTACAATTGCTTTCAAACTATTATATGGGACATACCAACATTGCACCACAAAAAATTTCAGGGATTAAAAAAGTAAAAATTTGTTAATACCAATATTAACTTATCGATAGGGCAATCGCTTGATTCATATCGATAGCAAATGATGATTTTTCTGTTTTTTTTTTTTGTGAGGCAAGCTAACGTAAAACATGCTGCGGTCAACAACTACATATGCATGCATGGCGATCAACCAATAGCGATATCGATTCACGTATGAAACTCCCTTTAACAAGATTATGAGATTTTGATTTACATTAACTAACTATCACTATTGTATTTTTCTTTTTAGCTTAGTTTTTGACTTGTGAATGTAATTTTAGAATATTAACTCATAAAAGTTGTGCATCTAATCAAGGTTTGGGACATAATTATAATCTTACTAAATTCATATAAACGCCGATTCCAACCCCTGTAAGCAGGTTATCGAAGATGGCGAAATAAGCTTGAAACTATCCTTAGAACCAAATTCTCATCTCATATCACAATCAATAATAAGAACTGACAGTAATATAATGGTTTGACACAATAATATAGAAACTACTTGATAAAGAAATATTTCTGGCAGTCAATCTCACCTCTATGCGATATCCAAAAGCTTACAACAAGAGGCATAGATTTTACAAATGGGATGGAATCAATCAGTAAAAATAATTTGTTTCTTTTCTATTGATATCATTATAAATGTTCATTGATTTAACAAAATCTAAATTTAAACTTAGAAAAATCAAATTCACATTTGTAGTTTCAATATTTCAGGACAAAATAAGATATTTTCAAAACAAAAAATTGAAATATTTGTTTTTAGTTTGAAAATAAAGTTCATTAAAATGATTTGATTTGTAATTAGTATTTCACAAAAAAGATATTGTGAAATTGGTTAGTAATTTTTATATTATATTATAATATTAAGATATTTAAAACTATATATTAATAAGCAAATTGTTAAATAATCAATATATAATCTAATACAAAAATATAAATTTATCAATTTACTATTAATAAAAAAAGTTTTACTTTTAAAATTTTAAATTTTTTTATTAAATATAATATTAGAACTCTTAAATCGACAAGTTTAAAATGCTACTACTTAATATAAAGACAAAATTTCAAAATCTAACTGATAACTTTGTAGAATTTATTATAAAAAACAAAATTACTAATTAGATTTTATCTTTATATCGAGTAATAATATTTTAAAATTGAAATATATTGTTAATTTAAAAATTATAGTATTATATAATATTTAAATTATAATTTATATATTTATATAATTTATTATTATACAGTAACAATCAGAAATAATATAATAATTAACTTGATATATAATTAAAATAGCTTTATTAGATTAAATCTAAAAAATCTAAAAAAATATGTGATATTATTTTAAGATTTTAACTAGTTAATATAATATAATATATTATTATTAAAATTAAATAAATTAATATTGTTATTATTTTATATAATTTTAGATTTTGTTATAAAAGAATATATAAATAATATATAATATTATATCAAGTAGAAGAGTTTATAAGATATAAATTTAAGTGTGAAAAAGAATACAAATATTTAAAGATATTTATTTGTTGGTTAGCTAAAAAATCTAAAAATATTCAAAAATAATTATATTCTTTTTATAGTAATTTATAAATAAATATAATATAAATTCTTTTTACTAATTTAATAACGTTAAAATATAAATAAAAGATTAATTATAAATATTATAAGCAGAATAACTTTATAATATAAATAAGAAATTATAATTTAAATAATAATAATAACTTCATAATTAAAATAAAATATTATAAAAAATATTCAAGAAATTATTAAAAAAATATAAAGTAATCAAAAGTAAAACTACTTCTTAAAAACTTGCTTTTTAAAGCTAAAATATATATTATATTTATATAAGTTATTTATTACTTAATCATTAAAATTTAAAACTAAATTTAATTAATAATAATATTATATGAAAATTACTTATTTACTTTATTTACTTAATTATAATATATTACTTGCTTTAATATTACATATAATTATAATTAATATTAATTAAATTAGATAATATTAATTAAATAATATTTTGTTTTTATTCTAAAATTATTT